TTAGTCCCTTAAAGTTCCAGTCTGTATGTCCAAATGGGGGTCATGAGGGCAATGTAAAGTTTTCTTTGATTTCTCAGTGAGACTTTAGATCGTCTGTCGAGTAGTCGTTTTGGCACGAAAAATCGTATGTTGCAGTCTGTGTGCTTAAGTCGTGCATGAGGGTTCCGCGTCAGTCGTTTGTGCAGGTAGAGTCCGAGGTGCGTTTTCTTGTTTAGGGTGAATATTATGTTTGTAGATTTGGTTTCGTTGATCTGATTCTCTGCGATAGGATCTTTATCAGACACACAACAGAAAGGATTGTGGTAACAACGGCAAAGGGGAGGGTGATAGTGTTAGGGTGCGTTGGCAGGTCGGAGGGAGAAATTGAGCAAAGGAAAGGAGCGAGCACGCTGCCCAGTGAGACACCCGCTAGAAGACGATGGATAGGAGCCAATGAAGTTATGTGGAATATTTGGAAGTAACGATCGTTAAAAATAAACCACGTATAATGGCACAAACTTGGCCTCCATGAATAAATTAGAATCGTAGATATATAATAAAACGTTGGAGGATCTTTCATTGTTAGTTTTATCACTTGTAACGGCATGAAGTCTAAACCTTTGGGAAATAATTTTTTGATTGTGTCCATCCTGATTTTGTGGAACTCGTAATAAGATGATGAGTAGGAAATAATTTTTTTTCACAATAGGCATTTCTTTCGTCAGACGCGTTTCGGATTAATATATAGATCATCTCCAGTGACTTTTTTTTACTAAGTTTGACGGTTTTTTTACATTGTTATAAGTTCAAAAGTGGATGGTTGGACGACCATGGACTTCGCGAGCAATCTGTCAAGATTTTTGAATATAACAATGTAAAAAACAGTCAAAACACTTTGTACAAAAAAATGCGCTGAAGATCACTCGACGATCACAGAAAAAAATTTGCCCCCCCCCCCCCGGCTAATCCAGGCCAAAAACGTTTATTTTCTTGTTCGTCAAAAGTGCGTATTTAAGAACTTTAAAGACTTTAAACGAATCCGAATTGCTTTTTGCAAAAAAATAACATCTTTGGCGAACTTTACTGAATGTTTTGGATTTTATAAATTTTTATATACCTTATGTCATTTAATACCATCCTACTGATTATTTTCTTGTCTTATATAAAAGAACAAATCGATTTATCCATAATAACCTTGAAATAATAGTCGACAAAGTTGACTAAATTCTGCACGTCTCCGGATTTTTGCATTTTTCCATGGTTCTAATTATCAGAATAGTTCCCTTCTATACCTTCACGTCACGGATCCCACCTCAAGGTAACCAAGTGTTCCTAGGTCCATTAGGCAATTTATGTATTCCCCAGAATCCCTAACTTTATAGCTGATTATACGAATACGAAATATTTTTTGCTAAAAATAATTTTTGTGACGAACTTTACTGAATACTTATTATGGTCTGGGCATCGTAGATATTGAAACACACAATTTATGACCAAGCAACGTAGGTTCAAATATTTTTTAATATGTGTACAGATTAGTGACCGTTAATCGATAGTTATTCAGATATCGTGAGATGCGGTCGACCCGACCCCATCTCACGATATCTGAATAACTATTTTTTAATAGTTAATATTCGTTTTCCGCATCTCGAAAAACTCTGAACACGAATTTTTAGGGAAAATTAAAAAAAATGAATATTTTTCCTCTATTTTTTTTTCTTTCGATTTTTTTAAGAAAATCACAAAAATGCTGATAACTTTGACGACGAAACATGTAAACTAGACGTAATGGCACAAAGTCTCCCTCCGGTAATAAGAGATATAAAATAAAACTTTTGAAAAGTTTTTGTTGACTACATCCTTATTTTCTTCAATTATAATAAAATGAACACTAAATAATATTGATATAGACTAAAAAAAAGAGAGATTAAGCTTTCTAATGGTTGTCTGTGGTACGATATAAAATCCGCGAGAAAAAAAAATTGCGCCGCAGCCTGAAAATATTTATTTTTGTTTGGTATAAAAATGTGTATTTAAGAGCTTCAAAGGGTGCTGAAAGCAAATCGGAATTACTCTTTCCAAAATATATTTTTTTGGCCTAATTTACTGAAGGCGTTTTTTGGCTTTTTGTAACTTATTATATACCTTCTCTCATTTATGCAACGCCATCCTGTTCATTATTTTCTTGTCCTGCGTAAAATAACGAATCGCTTGATCTATAATAACCTTGAAATACATAAACGACAAAGTTAACTTTTAGTAAATGCTGCACAACGTCTCTCGATGTTTTCATTTTTCCGTGGTTTTAATTATCAGAATAGTTTCCTTCTATACCATCATACCACGGATCCCCCTCAACTATTTTTTTTCCTAGGCAGTTTATGTACTCCCAGGCATCATTTATATACCTGATTGTCCGGAAGTATGTACACACATTCAAAGCAGTACCTAAGATTAAATAAATTAAACCAAATATTTTAATAAACAAAACAGCCACATGAAGCCAATTTGAATCTGTTAGGATTTCAGGACGATTTTTATCCTGGATTTCTAGTTATCTAACTAACCGCGAACAAATTGCTATACTACGCAACTACCAATCTCATATAAATAAAGGCTTCTTGGCGTTCCCCAAGGGGGTCATCTGTCTCCACTCTTATTTAATATTTTCATCAATGACCTCCCTTCTATTCTAAAATACGCAACTCCTCTTCTCATTGCTGATGACATACAATTTTTGATTCCCATTACCTCTAAAGATGAGCACTTACTATTTCAAACTGACTTGAAGCTCTTATCACTGGTCTTTAAAGAACCACCTGTTTCGTAATATTGGTAAACGCTTTTCTATGAGCTTTTACCGGACTAAAACTAATTATATCTACCTGGTGCAATCAAGTCAATGTTTATCGTGTTAAAAGACAAAGGAAATTGTTTAATAAACCGTTTAAAAATTAAGTGGTAAAAAAAGAGTAAAAAACGTGTCCCTGGATGGGCTTATGCCGAAACGAGACAAAAGGGTAAAATCATATCGAACTGGTTCAAGACGCCGGGCCGGCGGCCGGTAGAAATGTTATTGCGGTCGGGGAAAAACATCCCTCATTGAAAAAGTTAGGTAAAAAAATACCAGTGTTGTGTATGAAGGGGGGGGAGTTTCAGGAATTTTTCGAATAAACATACTCAACATACGTCCTTGATTCGACTTTCCTATAAAACAATGTTGGACTAATTTTTAGTGAGTTTTTAAAAGAAACTTATTTAATTTATCTAACTGAACTTCCCTCTAAATGTTAAAGACGTTTTTGTACATAATTTCAGTTTTTAATTTCTTATTAAATTAAACGATCGTTTTCCTACAAACAGCCTGACATAAAGAAACCGCTGAAGTCATACACAGCGAAATACAATGTTTGAAAATATTAAATATTCGAAATACATATTTTATTAAGTTTGTCTTTCACGACTGATTTTACTTTTTCAAGAATAAGATTTGAGATTTCCAACTCTCAGATCTTAATGTTGTAAAATGACTGACAGATACGAAATATCATTGTTGGAAATGACTCTCACATCTGGTTGTCAGTTTTTGTTGTTGAGAATGACTCTCAGATCTTATTGTTGTAAAATGACTCTCAGATACGAAATCTCAATATTGGGAACGATACTCAAATCTGTTTGTCAGATTTTGTCGCCGGGAATAACCCTCTCTCTTATTTTTTTAAATCTTATTTTGTATTATCTTATTTTTTGGAGAATTACTCTCAGATTTGACTCTCAGATCTTACTTATTTATATCAAGTTCAAATAACACAGACGCAATAACAACACTTCACCGCTCCGAACATAGATCACTTTTTACACACAAAGCCCTTATTTTCACTTTGTTTCCAAACGAATGATCTGCCACTTATATTATTTTTGGAAAATGACTGTCAGATTTGATTATCAAAGCTTATTGTTGGGAAGAATTACCAGAAAAAACGGAAAACTCGCAGAGGGCCCGTCATGACTTCAGCTGTTTGTTTTTAGGTCCATAAACGTCCCACTTTAGAAATACATTGTCAAAAAATAACGTTCAAATCTGGTTGCCAGATCTAGTTATTGAAAATGACTCTCAGATCTTATTTTATTTTTGGAAAATGACTTTCAGATTTGATTATCATATCTTTTTGTTGGAAAATGATTTTCAGGTCTGATTCTGAAACCTTGCAAACGACTCTCAGACCTTAATGTTGTAAAATGACTCAAAGATTCGAATATAAGGTCTCATTGATGGAAATGGCTCCAAATCTGGATGTCAGGTTTAGCTGTTTGGGACGAAATGAGATTTCGTATTTGAGAGTCATTTTATAACAATAAGATCTGTGAGTCGTTCCCTACAAAACAAAACCTGACAACCAGATGTGTGAGTCATTTCCGACAATAATATCTGAGAGTCGAGTCATTTTACAACAATAAGATCTGTGAGTCTTTCCCTACAAAAAAAATCTGACAACCAGATTTGACAGACATTTTCCGACAATTTATACGTACATAAAGTGGGAGGTTTATCGGCCTACAAACATCTGAGGTCATTGCCCGCCCTCTGCGAATTCTCCGTCTTTTTCTGGCCATTTTTCACAACAATAAGATTTGATAATCAAGTGCGAGAATCATTTTCCAAAAATAAGATGTGTGGCAGATAACGCGTTTGGAAACTAAGTGAAAATAAGGGCTTTGTGTGTAAAAAGTGGCCTACGTTCGGAGCGGTGAGGTGTTGTTATTCCGACTGTGATATTTGAATGTGATATAAAAGGGTTGAAAGGGAAAAATGATGTAAAACGGTGTGCAGGTCGAGAGCCGGGATCGCCATTTAGGTGTTGAAAAAGGAAAGGTTTTGTCAAGTGTTTTGAATTGGTAAACCGAATACGAGAGGTTAGGAGTGATCAACTATTAATTAGAGAAGTGGGGTGGATTGTGTGCGAGAGGCGGCGGCGGTGGCGACGGCGGCCGGGGGTTGCTGGAGATGAGGATGAGGGCATTCCGGGGGAGAGAGATGGGCGGAGCGAGAGGCCCGGGCCAATGGAACGTCGGAGAAGGCGTGGTATAAATAGGTCAGTATTCAATCCCACCCTCGTCGACGTACGATTCCCTTCCCCCTCCGGACACCGACGGGAGGGACCGGTGCCGGAATCAAAACGGGACCAGTCTCAGTCGGATCTGATGTGGTTCCAGCAATGGAGTTCAGAACGAGTCTGGAGTCACCTCTTGATCTGAGGGATAGGACATCTCCGTCCAACGACTCGGACCAGGACGTCAACGTGGATTCGGACGAAGACATACCGTCCGGCCAGCACCAGCCCATCGAACAGGACGACAGCAAAAAATCGACTCTCGTCAAACCGCCCTATTCCTACATCGCGCTCATAACGATGGCTATACTCCAGTCGCGGCACAAAAAGCTCACGTTGAGTGGTATATGTGACTTTATAATGACGAGGTTTCCGTACTACAGGGAGAAGTTTCCAGCCTGGCAAAATTCGATAAGGCACAATCTCTCTCTGAACGACTGTTTCATCAAGATCCCGAGGGAGCCGGGCAATCCGGGGAAGGGCAACTACTGGACGTTGGACCCGATGGCGGAAGACATGTTCGACAACGGTAGCTTCTTGAGGAGGAGGAAACGCTACAAAAGGCAGCCGCCGGAATTCATGCTGCGGGAACAGCAGGCCGCCGCCGTCGCGGCCACCTTCCTCGGCGATCCTTACAGAGGGGTCCATTTCCCGTATCTGTCGCCTTTGCCGCCCGCGGTGCCGCTCCTCCCGCCGACCGAACTGGCCAGGCTGTCACTCGGCCTCCTCGGCAACGGCGGCGCGCTCCCTTGCAAGCCGGTCCCGCTGGCGGCGCCTCCGGCCGTCTCGACGACGACGACGACGACGGCAGCGGCGCAGCCTTCGCCGAGACCATCGCCGGCCTTCTCCATCGAGTCTCTCATCGGGAGGAGCGGATCTTCCAGCCCGCCTCCGGTCACGAGGAGTTTCGATTCCGCTTTCACGCCCCTGCAGACGGCCGCCGCTTGGGCCAGGTGAGAACAACATTACTTCCAGTAGTATCCGCCTGTCTGTCTATCGTATCTACGAACCGCCTCTCTACTACCTACGTGCATCCGTAATTTCAAATTTCATCGAATACTACCTACATCCGCTAGTCCGTGTAAATAGCTGTTGTGACAAACCAACTTTTCTTCTGTACATAACCGCATTCGACAAAAATACCACATTTTGAGTTGTTGTTGTTTTTTTTTCTACACAAACTTCTTATAACATTAACCATAAGGAATTGTGAATTCAAACTATATCGGTTTATTTTATTGACTGAATTTTATTTATTTTTGAAAATTTATTTATTTGTTGTCCACTTAAATGTTTTTGTAGATTTTTTATACAAACATTTTCATTGTATGTGTATATAGTATGCGCATATACACATTTATATATTATGATTGATTTTTGACGAAGTTTTATTTATAATTATGGCTGAATACCAAAAAAAGTAGATTTTTTGAATGTAAATGAATGTATATACATATACACAAGGTGTTTTTTTTAAACATATGCTTCCCGGGTATCTGGTATGAAACGCTTCTATACCGAAAACTGTTCACAGGACGGAATTTTTAAAAAACTTAAATTTCCTGTTTTAAGGGACACTTAGTGGATCGTTCGGGGGATGATAAATGGGCAAAATAACAATTTGATCGATAAATACAAAGCACAATATTCTGAGGCGGTCTGACAGGTCAACGTCAAAAGTCAAGAATTTTCAAACCAACGAGAATAAATTAAAAAAAAAAAAATCATAAATTAAAACTCAAATTTACTTTTTTTAAATAGTATGGTTATATCGTGATTAAATCTATCCTAAGAGAGTTACGGTACTTTGCACGCTTTTGTCATCGAGTTTTAACATTTTCCCCATGTTAAATTTCTCAATCTTTTGTTTATTTGTCTTTAATATTGAGTACTTAATTGATTGTTTTTTTCTTTCTTTCGTTATATTCTACCGTCCCGGGAGAGGTAAATTAAAAAAAAATTCATCCCAGATACCCGTCGGATGTTCGACTTTTTTTAACACCCTTGTAGGCTTAAATATTCGAATTTAGTCGTAGCCCTTTTTTTTGTCAAATTGATTATTTATCGACTGAATAAAACAAAAAAAATGTAATTATAAATTATTGATTATAACGTCAAAAAAATATATATAATCAAATGTTACCAAATAATATGTGTTCTACGTAGTGTAGCGAGGGCATAGTCTATTGCAATATTATTACGACAATAGTTAGAATTGTGTCGTTGTCGTTCACTTTTGAAGAGAGAGAGAAACCGTGACATGTACAATATTAGCTGATGTGCGTGTGTTCTCGTCAAGCACAACTTTTAGTTTGATATTTAATTTATTTTGTGTCGATGTAATTCAAAATAATATGGTGAATAGCTGTGTAATTTAGATATAAAAAAATGTATTTGTTAAATGTGTAAACCTTAAAAAAAGTAGAGTGTATAAATGGATGTGATAATAATAATTATAAATATACAACAAAAAAATCGTTAATAATAATTATTCATAGAAGCTAGTGGATTGTGTTATATTTTTTTTACATTAACCCCTAACTCTTTTTGATAATAATTTTTAAAAAATGTCGTTATAGAAAGAAAATAAAAGCATAACGACATGTGATTTTGTTTAAACAAAAATTTAAAAGAGTAAACTGAATAATTCATAGCACTCTCTTCGAAAGGAAAAAAAGAACGTGTTAAAACAAGATTTATCAATAATTCTATTTGTATTTACCTTTAAGTTGGAACGGGGTATCTGTGCCGGGCATAAGTCCGGCTTCGCGGCTGATCTTAGTTTACTTTCGGGCACTTGACGTGCTTCTCCTTAGCGTCAACACGGTCAATTATGTAAATTATGTGGACAAACACATTGACCTTAATCCACATCCGATTCCAAGTCCCAATTTACTTTTTGTTTTATTTTTCGAACTGGATTAAATTCTAGTCCAGTCTGTGAAATAATGGCGTCCCGAGCCACGAGATCGGCGCAATATGTAACAGCAAATTTTTAAACTTTTCGTAATATTAATTACTTTACTTTTACAATACTAATTCACATTAATTTATTTTTCACCTGATAATAAATAAATAAAATAAAAAAAACGCGTCAGATATTCTCCCTGTTGCTCTTCTGGCTGGTTAAAAACTTTATCTATGGTATCATTTCCTAATCACTTTTCTAATTGCATAATCATTTTTATTTATTTATCTCGATATAATTTATAAAAGCTTTCAATATCATAATATAAAATCAGGGGTGGTTTTACCCACACGAAGGAAGTTGGATGAGTAAATAATAAACTTTCTAATACATTTTATCAAGTCTATCGAACTTCAAACTTCTAAGCATTTTTGTTCTCAAAAATAAATAAAAATTGAAACGATAAATTTAAGAAAAAAGTACGGAACGAACGCTGGATCCGACCGTGGAATTATTGTCGAAATTTTTGCCCAGTCCTCGAGTTTCAAAGTCTTGATGAATTTTCGACATATTCACGGAAAGCTCGACGAAAGCACGGTTTTCTATTCAAATTTGCCTCGTACTTGAGTTTTCATATACAATTTATTCTTAATAAATCTATTATATTTATAATTTGAATTAATTAATCTTTTTACCTAAGGTTTTGGTTGAAATGAAAAAGTTAGTGTCACGAGCGGGATTCGAACCCACGACCTTCGGCTTCATTCTTAATTTTTGAATTTTTATCTGATTTCTTTATTATTGGTGTCTTTAACACTTTTTTGTTTTTTAAGTAACATTACACATTGAAAAATAGTTCCTGCATATACATCATAAAATGAACACAGCTGAATTTTTAAGTTCTTTTTTTCCGCAAGAAATACATTAAAAATCACAGATAAGATAATTGTAGAAAATCATTTAAACTGCATTCTACATATTTGTTCACCTTGTATATTATTAATAATATTTTCATGGTCCTAATCAATAAATAAACACAGTACCTGAGCGTTTTTACTCCCTAAAATAATTAAATATGGAAACATTATCCGTACAATGTACTCGTTAGTACAACAATGCCCTTTCCTTTTAACCTTACTTTTTAATATTTTTGATTAGATTTTCAAACTTGTCAAAAATTAACTACATTTTTGAGGATTATAATTATATATGGACACAAAACGATCTATAATCGATACATTAAAAAAAAAGCATCGAACAAACGGAAATAGACTCGTCCGTTGAATTATTTTCAAAACATCGTTCAAGTCATCGAATTTTTTAAGTTTAAAAGCATTTTAATACACAATTTATTGTCAATATTAAAACTTTTATCTCAGGTTTGTCATAAGAAGTGATCCGTTCGCATCCGTTTCATCTGCACTTTGAAAATGAAAATATTATTTATATACTTCATAATCGTATATTAATGACAACAGTTTCGAAGTGTTAGTCATAAAATAAGCAAAGTGTTGAGGGTTTTTCTCTCAAAAATGATTAAATATAGAAACCTCATCTATACAATGGACTAGTTAGTGTAGCAATGCCGTTTCTTATTACTTTTAAAATTTTTGATCAAAGTTTTCAAACTAGTTAGAAATGAACAGTGTTTCTGAGGGGATTACTTCAAAAAATAATTATATATTGAAACAAAACATTTCTTAATTTGATAAAATTATAAAAAAAGCAACGAAGGACTAAGGATTCTTCCGTGGAATTATTTTCGAACTTTTTCATGTCCTTATGAATTGTCCTGAATGGACTGTTTTACATTCAATTTTGCCATATCTCTGATTTTTAACATATAATTTATTGTCAGTAATAAGTGATCTGTTCGCATCCCTTCAACGAGATTTTGAAAGTGAAAATCTCACTTATATTCTTCATATTTGTTCATTTCGTATATTATTAACAATAGTTTCAAATTCCTAGTCAGAAAATAAGCAAAAGTTCTGAGGGTTTTCCCCCAAAAATAATTAAATATTGTATATACCATATCCGTACAATGGACTCGTTAGTATAACAACAATGACGTTTCTTATACTTTTTTATATTTTCTATCAAACTTTGCAAACTGGTCAAAAATAAACACCTACCGAGAATTCTTCCTCCAAAAAATAATTATATATTCAAAAAAACTATCTTTATATCTATACATTAAAAAATCAGAACCGAACAAACGCTGGATTCGCCCGTGGAATTATTTTACAACTTTGTTCGAGTCCTCGAGTTTCAAAGTCCTGGTGAATATTCTGTTTTCTTTTTAAATATGCCTTATCCTTGAGTTTTAATATGCAATTTATTGTAAGTATTTGAACATTTGTCTGAGGTTTCTTATGACAAGTGGTCTGTTTAACTTTTTTTTAAATAAGAACATTACCAATTTTACATAAAATTGTTCATGTCGTACAATGAACTTAATATAAACAAAGTTAAGTTTATGAGTTTTTTTAATGAAAAATATTAAAAATTACGTAAAAGGCCAATTTGAACACAAAACACACGGATTCTCTTCGCCGAGCTTTAGGAGAACTCATTCCTTTCGACACTTTGAAACTGTTATTAACATTCTTCATATTGGTACACATTGTATGTTATTAACTGGTTCCAAAGACCTTGAAAGTGTTCGGACTTCTCCGAGTTTGCGAGTTGATGAACCCTATTTGGCCGTTACCGATCATTTTGGTTGGCCTACGCTCCCGGGATTGGTCTGTCGGACACGTTTCGCCAACTTCATCACCTCAGACACACTGAAGATGTACGCGTCTGACAACCCAACCGAGACCAGGCAGGCGTAAATTGCATTATGACTGACATATTCCGTGAAATCTCAAAGAAAGAACTGTTTTCTTTCAATTTGGACTGATTTTTAATATATATTTTATTTTGAATATAATATTGAAGGTTAATATATATAGGAGATAATTTAGAAATAATTCATGGTTTCTGGCTGTTATATCAAACTGTTTTGCCATAAAAATTATTTAAACCGTTAGAAGTTTTAAGGTTCTCCTTTCATTCAGTTTTAATGAATATTTAACATAATTATTCGCGATGTTATTACCCTGTCTGAATGTGCGTGCCAGTTTTTTTTAAATATAACTTTAATAGGATTCTACGATAATTTCGTTAAAAATCTATGAAATTTGACGCATCGTCCTTCTCAATTTTCTTTTGACTGGTCAAGGTTCATTCAGAATTAATATTATTTTGTTAAAATATAACTGTCCAACTAATAAACTTTGAAATGACATAAAGCTCGTTGGGGGTTTTACGGGCTTTTAGGCGTTCTGAAAGTAGAAAAAAACTAGATTTGCTGACCATTTCTTTACTCGGCGAAAATATTGCCACATCCTCCATTTTTTTATATAACATTAAAGACTATCACTAATTATATGAGAGATAACTTAAAAAACAATTATTTTTTTAAATACAACTCTGGGAGGATTCGACGATGATTTCGTTTCAATGAAACGTTAGAGTTTTCGCATTTGTCACCAAATTGAGAAAAAACAATTTCCTCAACTTTTTTCATTGATTGATCGAAGTCGATTCGGAATTAATATTATTTTGTTAAAATTTAGTGGTCCAACTAATAAACTTTGAAATGACATAAAGCTCGTTAAGGGTTTTAGTGGCTTTTGGCCGTTGTGAAAGTCGAAAAAAAATTAGATTTGACGATCATTTCTTCACTCGGCGAAAATATAGCCATATCCTCCATTTTTTTATATAACATTAAAGACTATCACTAATTCAATTATATGGGATATATATAATTATATGGGAGATAATTTAAAAACAATTTTTTTTTAATACAATTCTGGGGGGATTCGACGATGATTTCGTTTGAAATTGAACGTTAGAGCTTTCGCATTTATCACTAAAAACAATTTTCTCAAATTCTTTGATTTGATTGGTCGAAGTCGATTCGGAATTAATATTATTTTGTTAAAATTTGACTGTCAAACTAATAAACTTTGAAATGACATAAAGCTCGTTGGGGGTTTGGGGGGGGGGGGATTTGGCCGTTCCGAAAGTAGAAAGAATTAGATTTGGTGACCATTCATTCACTCAGCAAAAATATAGCCTTATCTTTTTTTTTAATAATATTAATAATGATCACTAGCTATATGGGAGGTAAGCAATTTTTTATATAACTCTAGGAGGATTCGACGATGATTTCGTTTGAAATTGAACGATAGATCTTTAGGATTTTCCGCCAAATTGAGAAGAAACGATGTTCTCAAAATTTTTCATTTGATTGGTAAAAGTCCATTAGAAATTAATACTATTTTGTTAAAATTTGACTGTCTAATAAACTTTGAAATGATATAAAGCTCGTTGGGGGTTTTACGGGCTTTTGGCCGTTCTGAAAGTTGAAAAAAAAATAGATTTGCTTACCATATCTTCACTTCGAAAATATAGCCATATCCTA